GGGGGCGGGGAGGCGGGGGGCAGAGCGGGCTTGGGGGAGCCCTGCCTCCCTCCGCACCTCTTCTGGGGAGAAACGCTGCAGTTCAGTTTTAGGGTTGGTTTTACTTTTTCTCTGCAATACTTTTTAAAGGTACACCTTACAATGAGTCACAGTGTGATGTTTTTGACAAATGCATACACCATGTCACCACCCCGACAGAACATTCCCCCCACCCCTCAGAGGCCCTTTTTGCCGGACGAAGTCAATCAGAAGTTACTCTATTGCCATGGGTTAGAGTTGCCTTTTCTAGAAATTCCTGTGTCCTCTTTTAAGGCTTTCCCCCCTCTTTTCGTTTTGGCGACTCACCCACGTTTTTTTCACTGAGTAGCGCTACAATGTGTCCACTCGCCAGCTGGTGGGCATGCGGGTTGTTTCCAGTTTAGGGCGATTCTAAAAAACGTCTCCACAAACATTCGTGTGTGTGTGTGTGTGTGTGTGTGTGTGTGTGTGTGTGTGTTCATTTCCGTTCGGGAGGCCCCGGAGTGGGAGGGCTGGTGCGTGAGCGCGGGCTCAGGCTCCCTCGCTTCTGCGCTTTCTGCAGTTGCCTCCCGCCGGGCCCACGCCCTCTCTCTCGGGACAGCAACCAAGCATGTGTGCTGGTGACGTTAACTGAGGGCGAGCCTCCCAGAACCGCCCGCTCTGACCAGAGTCCACCTGCTTTGGCAATTTTTAGTGTCCCATATTTTCACTGTAAATAATTAACTTTAAAAATCTGAAATCTTAGCTTTTCAGAAAAGCTAAATATTTCAACTTAGATGTTTGAGCCTAATTATATCCATGCCATACAATTGGTTTTCCTTTGTAGGCACTGGACAACCAGGAATCTTTTCAACACTGATAAGAACTAAAGCAGAACTTTTGACAAATGACTAGCACTAAAAAAGGCAGGAAGGAAGAGTCCACATTACCCAAAACAAGAAAAAACACACAAGACCATTTTAAAATAGAAAATGAATTCATAGGCAAGTTGAATAAAATCATCTGAACTTGAAGTCATTTTGGTTAATTTCCTAAAAAATCAATAAAGTTTCCAGTGAGTCTCCAAAAAAGTGTTGACTGCAAAACATGAAGTCACTTTTAATGACAGCCTTAATATTTGCATTTGTTTCTATGTCCATACTTCCAAGACCATATCGCTGTTAAAATCTCATCCTTACTCAGTTGACATCAGAAGTGGAGTTGCAATTCTTTTGCAAAGCCCCAGGCTGCACCTTGCCATTTCCAGTGCAGAACTAAAGATAAACCAAAAATAAGTCATGAAAAATGCAAAGATCTGCTTGACTCAGGTGACCCCAGATACAACACATGTTGAACAGAAGTAAAATGAAATCCCGCCGGAACCGGTTTGGCTCAGTGGATAGAGCGTCGGCTTGTGTACTGAAAGGTCCCAGGTTCGATTCCGGTCAAGGGCATGTACCTGGGTTGCGGGCACATCCCAGTGGGAGATGTGCAGGAGGCAGCTGATCGATGTTTCTCTCTCATCGATGTTTCTAACTCTCTATCTCTCTCCCTTCCTCTCTGTAAAAAATCAATAAAATATATTTTTTTAAAAATGAAATCCCATTCCTGATTTCCCTAATGTAAGATCTGCCATAGGGCTGGCAACACTATGTACACCAGTGTACTTTTAACACTAATAATGAACCAGATGAGAAAGTTAAATGAATATCTATAACCTAAAAGGCCATCATTTTAAAGTAAGAAAAAGCAACTCATACTATGGTTCCAACTATTCTAAAAAGATGACTGGAATGAGACCAGAATCTACACTAATAAAAGAGAAACATGGAAATTGGTATCACTCCACCACACTCAGCCAATCAGGATGAGTATGCAAATTGGCCCAACAAAGATGGCGGCTAACTTGCATATGCAGAAGGAAGAGGCTTGCCTTCTCCACTGTGGCCAGAGCAAAGGCCTGAGTCCTGGGTGCCAGAGGAAAACCGGTGCCGGCAGCCAGGGGAAGGAAGGCCTCTAGTGAAATATAAAATGTATCAAAATAATAAAAGAAGCCTGTAGAGCCACAGGTGACATTTCTTTCTAAATCTTAATTTTTTAAATCATGGTTGTTATATTTTTGATAGGAAAACAAATTATAAAGGGTTCAAGAATGAGCATGTACTTTAAAATGTAAATTAAAATTTTATTCAAAGCATCTTTTCAAATTACAGCATGTTTATTTCTTATGCTGTTAATTCTGCCAAACTACAGCTTAGCCAAATGAAGCATAAAACACTTCAAAAATTTGAATGTAAACCACATTTTTAGAACAAAAAGCAGTCCTAACACACCTCAGATTTTAAATGCCAATGTACTTTGTCCAAGTATATAGCTTATATCAAAAAAACCCTTAGGTTATGCCCAAGAATCTACTTTTGAAGTATTATATTTTAAATATTTCTATAGTAAATAGTTGTAATAATTTCTGAAACTTTCAATTATACAAATAAAGAATGTGAATATAACTATTATAGTTGACAAAAGCTGACCAGAGAAACAAAAGCCCTTACTTTTGAAGGCCTTAAATTGTATTATTTTTGAATTGGCAAGTATTTGTATTTTTTAAATTCTTACCATCTTCCTTCTTTATGTAATTTCATCAAATTTTAGATTTCCCAAGACTGATAAGTGTTGCTTTTTATAATTCATTTAAATCATACTTGAAAGGAAAAATCTAGAGAAAAATGTTGACAGCTAAACCAAGAAAATTCAATGCTATAGTCTCTTTTACTGTGGCTATAAGTGCTCCAAGTTAAAATTCTATATATCAGATTACAAACAAAATTCTTAGACCATTACAAATATAAATTTTCTTATTTAAAAAATCCTTCAAGATCTGTAATTTACTGTACTGAGGATTACATTTGTAAAGTATGTCCTCATCATATACATTATTTGTTATCATCTTTCACACTTTTGCTCCTTTTCAAGGCATTTAATCCCTCCCCTCCCCACAGCTACATGTGAAACTGTGACTGCAACACACTGGGATTTGGGGAGAAAGAAGCATATATTTTAGATAATGTTTAACCATATCTGTCGGCTACGAAGTAAAAGGCGCTAGAGAGCCATGTTTCCCGCTATTATTCTGAGGTTTACTCCAATTAAGCAATCTATAAAAATTTCTGTTGTTCATGTTATTTAGTTTCTACTTAAAACAGAGGCTAAAATGATCGAGGCTTTTGCCTACATACAGGAGGCGAACCGCTCAGCTCTTGATTTTTCTGTTCATGCTTCAGTACATAAAGTGGTGTTTAAAAATGGCATCTATTTGGAAAAATGGTTTAAAACCACCACACAAGTTAACACACATGCAGTTAAAACTATCCCAGAAGCCTACTTATTTGAGTAGCTAATCTTTTCTGCAGTGTTTAACTGATAATTGAATTTAGTGAGCACAAATAGTTCGGCATGTTATTCTGAAAAGCAAGAAGGTGGCTTTATGCACTGAAAATATAAATAGAAGGCTTTCATTTGCTAATAATTCTAAACAAGCAGTACAACTGAAATTTAGTGTTTGCTAACAAAAGATCTAAAACAGTTCACTACAAAACAACCCTGTAGATGTCCCTTTTATTAATAAAAATCCAAGTGCCAAATCTCAGTACAGGGCCCATATTTAAAAAAGAAAAAATTACCAGGTTACCTAGACTTTGCAAGATTAACCACTCAATTTCAGCAAATGAGAAATATGAAATGTGCAAAAGTTCCCAAGTTAAGAGAGGGATAACAAGTGCTTTTCAAAACTAAACATCATAGTAAGTTGTAAAGCCTCAGAAAGATAGAATAAGACCAATTTTACTCCAATTTTAAAAATTCTGAACTATTATGCATCTTACCAAGATCCTCAAATATCTGCTTTTCTTTCAAAATCTGTAACTTAGGACATCTTCTGAAATAGGCAGTTTTCCATTTCTCTAGTCTTATTAGTCACACTATTTTGCAATTTAAAAATATCTTTCACACATCTTCCACTTTCTCACTTACTTCAGTGTTGACAGTATTGTTAAACGTACTAGTACAAATTGTTAAAAATGATCTTACAAATAATCTCTCCTAACCTTCTTTGGCTACATGTCCCATTCTGCTTTTGTTTTTTTTCTCTAAAAGTGTCTTATTCTGAAAGTGCTTCCTGTGAAAACTGCTTCCAATGAATGCATTAAACTTGCAAAATCTAGCTTCCCACAATACGTAGTTTCCTACCCTGTACTAGAAGTCCCATATTTACAAAATATTTTAAACTTTACAACAATCCATTACCATATAAAAAAAGTGCAATTCTCTCTCACCCCATATTTTGGGGCAATAACATTCTTCATCAATTTCTACAGAATAGCAGCCTATGGTAAGCAAATAAGGTGCTTAGCTTATGCCCAAGGATCTACTTTTGAAGTATGCTGGGCAGTACTTTTGTACAGTGGGAGTCAGTGTGCAGGCTACTGGCGGAGCGGCGCGCCGGTCAGGTTGGCGAGCTCGATGAGCGCCAGGGCTCCGTGCAGGCGCTCGCGCTGCTCCTGCAGCCGCCGTTGGGCCCCGCTCTTCTCGTCGTCCTCCTCGTCCGACTGCAGGTATTCCAGAGGGTCCTGCTGCTCCTGGTCCGCCTTCTGTGCGAGCTTTCCCTTCAAGGTGGGGGTGCGCTGCTCTTTTGTTTCCCAATACCTACGGGACATGCAACCGCGTGAATTAGAGGGTATAGGTGACATCCTCAAAGGTTTACTTTGCTTGTTTAAAAAAGTGTTCTTTACCACGGTATTCAATGCGTTTTAGTTCCCAAAGTTACAGAAGGATTTCACATTTATTATACACCTTTCTCATTACAGAGGAAACAATTCAAGTTCAAGAAGTTGAGAGACTTTCTCAGATTTTCAAAAACTGGCAGTTCTGGGTCTCATACTCAACTCTCTAATCATGTGTTTTTGCCATTAAACAATGCCTTAAAGATCATATGTAAAATGCACTAAGTTATAGAAATAGTAGAACAAATAAACATTAAAAACCTATTTATACTATCCACAGAGGGATGGTGACTTCTGACTGAGTTAACTAAGAGAAACTTGAAACTTACAAAATATGATTTACAGATTAATATCTGTAACACATAGAACTTATTCAAAAATTTAAGAACACCACCACTATTCTATGACATGGCCAACTGGTGATTCACAAGAGAAAATGCAAACTTGGTAAATTAAAGAAATAAATGACAGTATCATTATATCCAAAAATGCCCCTACAAAGACTTGTATATTAATGTTTATAACAGCCTTATTTATACCCTGCAATAACCCAATGTCCGTCAACAGATGACTGAATAAACAAGTTGAAGTATATCCACACAATGGATTACTACTCAGTGATAAAAAAGAATGAACTATTGACACATGGATGAATCTCAAAATAATTGAGTAAAAGAAGCCAGACAAACGGAGTGCATACTGCATGGCTTCACTTGTATAAAACACTAGAAAATGCAAACTAATGCATAGTAACAGGAGTAGGTCAGTGTTGTTCAGGTCGAAGTGGGAGGAAGGGATTAGGAAAGGGCTTGAGGAAATGCTGGGAGTGATGAATATGTTCATGATCTTGATGGGTGTTGATTTCACAGATGCAAACGTGTCTAAATGTGTGAAATTGCACACTTTAAATATTTACAATTTACTGTATGTCCGTTATACCTCAGCAAACCTGTTTTTAAAATTAGAAACAAAAAAAAGGACAACTACTAGATGTCAGGAAATCCAGGCTACTCAAACTGGAAAAGTTGTGGCAATTCTCAGAGGTATAAAAAAAGAAACGCAAACAGTTCAGTCTGACTTGGACAACTAGAAAAGGAGAGCGGCAAAAGGTAAGTTTAACTGGGTCGGCAGGGACCAGCTTTGAATGCCATAATAGAGTTTAGACTTCGTACTGAGGATCACACAGCATTTTACAAAGATCCTGTGGAAGCAGCATGGAGAATGGATTGAGAGGGATGACGTAGCTGAATGTGAGTTGTTAAGGAAGTAGATGAGAGAGAGGATAAAGACAGGATGACCAACAAGTTTCTGGCTTGGGCCAAATGAGAGATAAGGGGCAGTGGAGGCCAGCCAGGAGGAGGGAGCGGAGGTAGGAAGTGATGCAGTAGCAAGGCAGACACAAGCCCTGCCCTGTGGAGCTTAGTGCAGCAGGGGCGACGGACCCTGAGTGAGTGGCATGCAGGTCTCGAAAGGGAAAATACAGTGTGCTATAAAAGTATCTAAGTGAGTCTGACCTGTGTTTGGTGAGCAGGTCGGGGAAGAACTTCCTGAAGTGAGGTTTAACCTGAGTCAGAAATGAAGACTAAGCCCCATGGCTGAATGAAGAGGGAAGCAGCCTACCTGCAGAGGCAGCAGTGAGCACGAAGGCCCGGAAGCCGCAGGGAGCGCTGCGCTGAGAAAGCAGGGGCCCAGAGGGC